TTGATGATCATAATAATAATAATAATAATAGTAATAATAATAATAATTATTATTATTGTTATTATTATTATTATTTTTATTATTATTATTATTTTGTTGTAAGTGGGTTTTCACAGGGCGCCATTTGTAGGTCGTACTCTTTTTTCCTTTCCTGCTACTGTTTCTGTCTGTTTTGTCTTTTTCTTTTCCTCACTTCACGGTCGGTATTGTGTTGATATGCTTCTCTGTATTGAAACATTGTTGGAAAAGTTGGAAATTTTTTTGGGAAGTATCGTTGTTTCAAATGTAGGTCAGTCTTTTTTCTCTTTTGTTTTTTGCTGTTAGAGTTAGTTTGGATCAGGTCATTTAGGAGGTGGACTACTTCGACCCTGCCTGTCAGGGCCAATATCACCTGAGAGGGATACAGTATCCCAGCAGACAGACGGAGATACTCAATAAAAGTTCTCCCTACTCGCGAATGGAACTAATGAAGCCTTCTGCGTGCTACAGCAAAGTGGTTGGTTGTCTCGCCCCCTTCTGACCATGACTATATCTCATCAGTGACTTTGAGTGGGTGGTTGGCGGGTGCTCTGGTGTGGGTTGCTTCTTCTTTCCTATCAAACATCTATCGTATTTATCTCCCCTCCCTTTTTTTTGGTGTTTGTTACTCCCTTATAATACCTCTAATCTTCGGCGCTTATATGACCTTATTGTGTTTCTAGTACCGTAAAACACTTTTTTTAAAAAGAAGTGACTTTGACCCTTTTTCTCAGCAGTGCGACCATGACCCTATGTCTCATTTTTATGACCTTGCTCTATATCAGTTATCACTGTTCTAACCTTGTTCCTATGTCTCATTGATCATTGTTAGGATTTTTTTTGGACCCTATTTCATTTCTGCCCATGTCTCATTGTTATGACCTTGGCCCTATATCTAATATTCGTTTTGATCTTGACCCCATGTCTCATTGTCATGACATTTATTATCTCTTCATTCTGACGTTGACTTTGACCTTGTGTCTCATTGTTTTGACCTTGACGCTATCTCTTCATTCTAACCGTGACCTTTTCCCTCGTTGGTCTGACCTTGACTTTTTGTCTCTCGTCCTCAGACTCGTCCAAGAAGTTGAAGGATGTGCTCAAAGAGTTTCAAGGAGATGGGCTGCTCAGCAAGTACAATCCGGAGGAGGTAGGGAGGGGCCTTGACCATCCACTGACCGCTTGTGATACCCTGGTTGTGGTGGATGAGGGACTTGTGTTGTAAACTGAGAAAAAAATGTTATGTTAGGATTTCACTTGAGATGTGATTGCTTGTGTGTCAAAGAAATCTCGTGAACAACAAAAATTATTTATAATTATAAATATCCTTGCATACGCTCGTTTCTAATAAATTTTTTTTCTTTCTATGCTTATTTTGTTATTGTTTATTTAATGTCACTAACCTTGGTTTTTATATTTTTATAAGCAGAAATTCCTTGTGGAAAGTATAAAAAAATATTTGTACGAAAATTTGAGAGGAGCTTTTTGAGTACAAGATTTAAGACATTGCCAAGGCTAAACACCTAAAGTTGTTGAGTGTCAGTAACAGGGCCGGATGCTTTCATGACTATTACAGTGTCTATTGTTCCATAAAATACGTACCATAATTGGTCGCTTTTATGAACAAGGAGGCTATCCCGAAAAATGCTGTTTTGAGAAAATCAAAGGTAAAGTTTTTGCCCCGTGTTCATTTTCTTTACAAGGCAAGGAGAGTTTTCTCAGTAATCAAACAAATATACACTCTAATGAAACCAAATTGATAGGGCTATATCCACTTTTGATGTTGGTCGAGATTTCTGAAAACCCCCCAAAATCTGGGTTAGCCCACTTGTCCTTAAAAGCGACCAATTACACCACAGGCTGATGAGAGCAGCCCTGGTTCCAGTCTACAACAAGACATATGTAAACAAGGGCTGTATGTACGATTTACTAATGATACTCTGCCCACTTCGTTCATTCCATTTCAAAATGAACATAATATGTGAGCTGGTGGTTGGAGGGTGCCACTGGTAGACCTTGCTTCTTTTCTGTCTATCTGTCTGTGTGTGTGTCTGTGTGTGTGTGTCTGTCTGTCTGTCTGTCTGTCTGTCTCTTTCTCTGTCCCTGTCTCTGTCTCTGTCTCTCTCTCTCTCTCTCTCTCTCTCTCT